TCTGGGCAATGAAAACCCTCTTACTTGTCCTGTCACTACAGGCCCTGATTAAAAGGTTCTGCCCATCTTTATATGTAGCATACTTTAAAAAGGCAAAAACATTTTACACAGAGGCTTCTTTCTTTATGCTTAAGGACACAAAATCCTTCAGCCCTTCTTTGTTGAAGAGATGGGCCAGCCCTCAGACCATTTCTGTGGTCTTTCTGGGGACTCCAGCAAGTCCATGTTTTTTTGGAATATTGGCCCCAGATCTGCATGCAGTCCCTGGTGTCTCCCAAAAAGACTTCACAGTTTATGGCCTGCTGGCCATAATACTTGTTAGGTAGCAGAGGATACATTTCTGTTCCTGAGCAGTAAGTGTATTTTGGCAAATCATGACCCATTTTATTACCCACCAATAACCCCATGTACTTCTCTGCAAGGCTGTTACAATCTCCTACTCTAATTAAACTGGAGATTACCCTGACCCAGGTGTAGGACCTTTCCCTTAGCCTTGTTGAACTTCCTGATGTTTGCACAGGCCCACTCCTCCAGCCTATCAAGGTCTCTCCAGTTGGCATCTCTGCCCTCTCACGTTTACATCAATTCATCCTGACACCCAACAGAACTCAGGGACACTTTCACATCTCCTGCCTTTCACACCTGCTGTACCGTGAACAAGAGGCACTAACACACGATGCATGGCTCAATGAAGCAATGCTGGTAATCACAAGAAAACCCTCAGACATGTCAAACAAAGAAACAAAACCCAAAAATGTAAATGAGAGAAGCAAGGCAGGGAAGCATCAGGAGACAAGGAGTGATTAGAGAACTTCACTGGCAAGTCTTTGGGGTCTTCACTGGAATTCATTGCTGCAAGCACTTGGAAGTCACTGAGGTCTCCAGTTGCAAGTGCAGACCTAAAGTCTTACACCAGACTACCTAGTTATGGGATTCATTTTTAGAAAGAGTCATCATCTCTCAGCAATTCTACTGTGTGGCCTGCTCACCTCCCACGAGTATCAAGCACTTCATTGTGGGCTCTTTTGTCAAACTCTACCTTCTGAGAAATTACAGCAAATTCCCATTTTCTTTTTCTTCGTATTCCTCACACACAAAATTCTGCCCTAGGTGGCTGAAGGAAGTATTTGCTGCCAAACCACAATCACTGTTTCAAAAGCAAAAGCACTGACTAGAAGTGCAGTTAAAGACCATGACCTTACAGGACTCTTGAACAAAGTCTTGAAAGAAAGTCTGATTGCAACTGCGAAGAAACTCTATATCACTCTGTCCCACAAAGATACAAATGGATCATATAAAACATGTCAGAGACCTCGACACCAGGCATGAAATTAAACCATTGTCCAGTCAAACTTACACTGACCCACCCATTTTCCTCATTCAAATCCAGCCTCTCCGTCTCCTGGCTCTGCATTCATAGCCTTTGGTTGCTCCATCACTACCTGAAATCTGACTACATGGCAGCCCCAGGGAAAAGAGCATTTCATTCAGTCCCGTTTTAGGGAAACATATATTTATCAAAGTGTTTCTTTTAGCTGATGTCCATATTCAGGGTGTGGAGAAGAACTTCTCTCCCACCCTGGCAATTATAAGATGTCTTCTGGTGTTTCACACTGAAGCACAGAATCAAAAGTTGAAAGAGACCTTCAAGCTCATCTGGTCCAACCCTCAGCCCAGCACTACCATAATCACCCCTAAACCATATCCTCAAGTGCCACATCCAGAGGCCTCCCAAACACTTCCAGAGGTGGTGACTCCACCACCTTCTTGGTCAAGTTATTCCAGTCCCTGATCACTCTTTCAGAGAAACAAACTAAATCAAATATCTAATCTAGATCTCCTGTGGTACAACTTAAGATAATTTTCTGTCCTTCTTTCCCTTAAGATATGGCAGAAGAGACCAACCTCCACCTCACTTATCAACTCCTTTAAAGTAGTTGTAGAGAGCAATTAGATAATCCCTGAGCTACATTAAATAACTCCTATTTTCTCAGGAGTACTGAAATATCTGACCTGCTCCTCAGAAGCTTTAACAGTTTTGGTTTGTTCACTGGATTGCCAGGCACAAGGAGGCCCAGCTTTACTCCTTGACATGAAGCAAACAAACAAACAAAAAAAACACAGCAAGGGTGAGAAACCATCAGAAGTGTATGAATCACAGACTCACTTAGATCCCAAGCATCCCCAAAAATATAATCCTGCTCATTCCAATAATTTGAATAACTTTAAAATGATATACTGGTCAAAAGCAATCACAGCTGAATGACAAAAAACAGCTCAAAGGAAACAACACACAGGGGCTCTTTGAAAGCCCTACCACTCATAATGTGTGTTGAACCCAAAACTTGGCCATTTGAGTCCAAACCATGCAATATCAAAAAATAGGATTCCTTCTGACTTCTTTGCAGATTTAAAAGGTTCAACCCTGGGAATCAGCAAAACACAGGCCATGTCTCCACCAGCACCTCCTCACACACAACACTCCCCTCAAACTCTTCACAGCTCTTCATGTGGCTATCAAAGATCTTCAAAATTGACAGAAGGACCCCACAAAAAGAATCGTTGCTTAGACAATGTTTCCTTACCGTGAATAATCTTTGCTTTCTCACCCTTTGCATGTGACAAGCAAGAGAATTTCTTACAGTGATGTTTGAAAGAAACATGTCTATGAAAGTCCTTCTCTTTCCAGCTGTAAACAG